AGAGATTTAACGACAGGAGGAGGCAGTTTCACAGTGAAACAGAGATTGGAGTGATCTGCTTTGAAGATGGAGAAAAGAGGCATAAGACAAGGAATGTTCTGATAGATCAGTAGAAAGGCTTGAAAAGGGGAGGAAATGGTTTCTCCCCTTCTTACCCTCCAAAAGGAACTAGTTCCGTCATCTGGACTTTGATCTATTGAAATGGTAAGTCTGTTGTTTTTAGGGCACTGAGCTTGTGGTACTTTGTTACAGCAGCAATAAGAAACTAAAATACTCCACATCCTCACCGGTATTTGGTGGTGTCAGGATATTTTTAAACCATTCTAGATTGCGCAAAATGATATTGCTTTGCGGTTTTATTTTGTATTTTCTTGGTGATCATTGATACTAAACTCCTCTTAATGTGCTTATAGGTTATTCCTGTATCCCTATTCATGAAATATCTGTAATGCAACTTTTAACTACTTTTTAAAACTTCTTTAATTTTCAGTTCTTTATATATTCTAGGTGATTAGTATAATTTGTCTTTTGTATGTGTACAGTAAATATTTTTTATAGTCTTTGATTTACATACTGATTTTCTAATGGTGCTTTTTGACAAACATTTTTAATTTTGATGGCGATTGCTTTACATTTCTTCTTGATTAGTACTTTCTGTGTTTTGGAGTCATAAAGACATTTCATGTTTTCCTCTAAGAGTGTAAGAGTGCTTTTTATTTCTCTTTTTTGCCTTACTGGACTGACTAGAACATCTAGTGTATTCACTATTTAATAGAAGTGATAACAGTGGATGATGTCCTTGTCTTATTTCCACTATGTGAGGGAAAGGATTTACTGTTAGACCATTACATGTCACTAGCTTTAATTTTTTCATAGATGTCTTTTTTCAGATTGAAGTATTTCTTTTTTTCGATTTCTAATTTGCTGAGAAATCTTAATCATAGAAGGACATTGATGTTGCTTCTTTTTCCTGTATCAGTAAAAAGAAAAAATTTTTCCTTACTGTAAATAAGTACTTGATTTTTTGATTAAGTTTCCTCACTACAGTAACTCCCATTTGGTGATAATACACTTTCTATATATACATTACTATATTTTGCTAATATCTTGTTAATTTTCTAAAAGTCGTAGACTTTCATTTTGTATTAATAGAGTATCTTGGGCCCCGACTCGTTTCTTGTTCCTGCTCTAATACCAGGCAGCTGTTCCTACTCCCCATTCCTTATCAGTGTATCTTTATGATAGTGGTGGCAGTGTTTCCTGACTTCCTCTGTGGTTATTGTAATTGGTGAAGGGCTCATTTGTTTGTGGTGGTGGGCAGTTAAGTTCTGTTCCACACACGCTTTTCCCACTCACCACCTCCAACAACAACACATTAACTTGAACTTTGGCTCTTTTCCATTTAGATAGGGGGTCTGTGCCTGGGCCTTAGCCTGCAGTTCCTCCCCTGATGGAAGGCTTTTGCTTCACATGTCCTTGAAATGTCACTAAGAGGAAGGAGCTCTTCTCCATATTCTCTTAGACCAATGCTTATGAAGAGCAGTTTACCAAGATCCCACAGGGAAGGACTGTGAATGAGTGCAGCTGCCCCTTCCCTCTACCTGCACCTGCCAGGGATTGCAACTGCCCTGCTGTCCTTAGCTGGCAAACGGTGTTTATCTTATTCAGCAGGTTGAGCCTGACTATATTTCCTTTGAGTTTGTGGGTTGAAAAGCTATTGGTTGTTACTATTCCATATATTTTTTTCTGTCCCATTCTCCCTTTCCTCTCCTTTGGGATGCCAATTAAACTCAATTAACATTTGGTTTCAGATGTTCTGTTCTCCCCCACACACATACACCTTTTTTCCTGCTTATATTTCAATTTGGGTACTTCAGTTTGGCCTATTTCAAGTTCACTGTTCACTTCTGTCTGGCATTAAATCCATCTAAAGAAATCTTTAATTTCTTATATTGTAAGTTTCATCTTCCAGCAGTTCTCTGTGATCCTTTTTTCATAGCTTCAGTGTCTGTAGTGAAATCCCTTTTTTATTAAGCATGTTGTCTGTGTCATCCATCAGATTCTTTAGTGTTTACATCATAGTTATTTAAAAGTCTATCTGATAATTTCAGCAACTGGGTTTTCACTATCTGATTGAATTAATAATTTCATCTCTTGCTTATATTCTTGCCCTGTGTTTAATAACTTTTGATTGAATGCAGAACATTTGTATAAAAAAGCAGATTGAAGTAAATTTCATTTACCATCAGAAAATGACCGTCATTTTTTGTTAGTCATGATAGGTAGTGGGGCTAAGTCAATAAGATGTGGGCTTTGTTGCACAGTTTCAGTTTGATTTAGTGAAGTGATTTGAGAGCAAGATTAAACTACGCTGCAAAATTTGTTGTCTGCGTGTAATTTCTATGTGATATCAACTTTCTGAACCATGGGCTATTTCTTTGATTAACCCAACTGTCAGTTCTTTGGTCATTCTGAAGTTCTTTTTGCTCCCCAGTCCTGTCCCAGCCTTCTGTAGCTTAAAATAAGAGTATTTTAAGAGTTAGCTTAGTTAAGAGTTAACTAGTAAATAATCTTTGAGGGGCTTCTCGCAGCAGTCCTCCTTTACTCCAGCCTTGAGTAGTTATTTGTCTATAATATCTGAGTGGAAGTTTCTTTCAGCTCTCTTTTTTCTTTCAGCCCTTGGCAGTTCAATGTCTAGAGTCTCTTGAATTGATTTCTCTTCTACCCATTCCTCCATCTCCCTTTCAGAGGACAGATTCCTTACATTTGAAGAAGACTTAGTTTCTTTCTTTTTTTCTTTCTTTTTTAAAGATTTATTTATTTGTGCATACAGATGAGGGGTACAGGCCAGAGGTGCAGGGGTAGTGAGAGGATTCACCAGAGAAAGGAGAGTGGGGTGCAGAACAGGCAGATCGACAAAGTACACTGCTGAGGGGAGCAGTGGGTGGAGCAGGAGAGGTCTGCTACCCCATGTGGGTCACCTCCGGGGCAGGCGGGGATCGAACTCATGCGGAAGTGGCTTTAGCTTCTTAGTCTGTGCTTTCGCTTGCTGCGCCACAAGGGAGGGCCCAAAGACTTAGTTTTTTAAGAGTATCTCTCAGTTTTCAGGTCTTTCCTCCCCACCCCACACACTTTGGCATATTTATTTGGGCAAGCACTTGGTGAAGATGTGGGAATGAGTGGTTGGTGATGCAAGTTTGCTTTGTAAGATCTTTGCCATGTCACCCTACATGTTGTCATTAAATCAGTGTTTATGCTAGTTTCTGTGGTGGGATTATTATTCCTTTGCCCCACTCCACTGGGAAAGAGACATCCATGAGTCCTTATCAACACCCAGCACTTACTGGAATTTAGTTTTACTTAGGTTCCTCTGTATCTTTAACTCTTTATGAAATCAGGAGAAAAATTTTGTAACTTACCTGACTTGTTTTGATAGATTGTTAGGGTGTTCCCATCCTGTTTTCCCATCCTGTTTCCAACTAAATTCTTATGGAATACTTTATAATGTAGTCTAGCAAATACCTGGTAAATTTTTGTTATTTTATAGTTGATTTCCTATAGAAGTTTTTCAAAGCTGAATTTCTAAATCTTCTCACATTTATTTTAAAGATCTTATTTATGTATACAGAACTTGGGTATAGGCCACAAGTACAGGTACAATGAGAAGATTCAATGGAGTCAGAGTGGGGAGCAGAACAGGCAGATTGATAAAGTGCACTGCTGATGGGAGCAGCGGGCTGGGCAGGAGAGATCTGCTGCACCATGTGGGTCACCTCCCTGGCTGGGGATTGAACTTGGCACTGAAGCCTACTTCACAGTGCTATGCTTAAATCTGTTGTGCCACCTATGAGGGCCTTGTTCTCAAATTTTAACTTTGTTCTCAAGTGATGAATGAGCTTGTCGCCTACTTTGAGATTAAGTAAGCCATTACAATTTAATTGAGGGGCTTGTTGAGGGTATGGGAAACATTTGTTTTAGGTGCACAGGAAACCAAGCAAATGAAAAAGTAAGATAATTGACTCAGGGAAAAAAAACATTGTATAGTAGTTGACTACTAATCTCCTTGGGACCATATTATATACTTGATTACTTAATTTAAAATTGAATATAGTTATTTTTAAGTTTGGATGAAAGGAAGAATGTTAAGAGTTTAAAGAATTGTTACTGTGGTAGGAAGGAACTACATTTTACTTACTATGCATGTTGTCCTTAGCTTTAAGTAGAAAAAAATTTTTTTTTTAAAAAGATAGTCTTTCCAGGCCCTCCCTGGTGGTGCAGTGGGTTAAAGCGCAGCACTGAGAAGCTAAAGCCACTTCCCCATGAGTTCAATCCCTACCTGCCCGGGAGGTGACCACATGATGCTGCAGACCTCTCCTGGCCCGCCCGCTGCTCCCCTCAGCAGTGTACTACGTCTATCTGCCTGTTCTGCTCCCCATTCTGTCTCTCACCGCCCCTTAGCCTATGGACTGTACCCCAGTTCTGTATGCACAAATAAATAAATCTTAAAAAAAAAAAAAGATAGTCTTTCAAACCTTTCCCTTACACTTTGTATCTTAATTCTTGTTTACTTCACACTGTTTTCATTTCCTTTTCTTATAATTTTAGATTAAGTGTTTTGACTTAGGTTGAAATTCTGAAAAGTGAGAAAAACTTTATTTTGGCGAGATGATATTAAGTATTGGTGATATTAAAAGTTAAAAGTAAAGTAGTATTGCTAGTGATAGTCTTTTTAAATAAAGATTTAACTTGCAAAATTAATCATTTCTCAGAAAGTCTTGACCTTAAAACATTATTTTGTTTTTAAAAGGGGTTGTTTGACATTTCATTTAAATTATTAATGACATCTTTGTGGGTGAAGAAGAGAACTTCTGAAAGATTGTTGGGAAAATAATAATTTAAATTTCTACTTCGTGTTGTAGTTTGTTTTCATTGCTACAGTGAATGAAATGATTACTTGATTTTAAAATTAGTCTCTAAATTTTCCTTTCTGTATCTTTTTTAGGTTAGATAAATTAGACTCTTGTGGACTGCTGTCTTTGGTAAGAACATGTCGTCCATCTTGCCATTCACTCCACCAGTTGTGAAGAGACTGCTAGGATGGAAGAAATCAGCTGGTGGATCTGGAGGAGCAGGTGGTGGAGAGCAGAATGGACAGGAAGAAAAGTGGTGTGAGAAAGCAGTCAAAAGTTTGGTGAAGAAACTAAAGAAAACAGGACGATTAGATGAGCTTGAGAAAGCCATCACCACTCAAAATTGTAATACTAAATGTGTTACCATACCAAGGTAAGTGTTAAATCAGAAATTTGATGATCATACTGTTGCAAATTGTTTGAAGGAATCAATTTAAAGGAAAGTTACCAAAATGTTACTTTCAAGTTACTTGTAAATAATGATTAAAATAATACAGCATTTTTTAACCAATTGTGTTGTGTTTTGCTAGTTAAGATTTGATTTTTAAACCATTTTCTTGAACATCAAGAAAGTTCAAACAAGATAAAATACTTAGCTGTCCTTCAGTTTCATTGTCTAAATGCTTACTTGTATGTTCTGAATGATACCTGAATAAAGATTCAAAGCTTTTCTATCACTAACTCAGCAGTGACTGACAGTTTTCTCCCCCTTGGTCACAGCTTGCGTCATTAAAGGTTAAAAGAAACTGCTAGCACTGTGAAGAATTGTACAGTTTTTGTTTGAGTGGCAACAGTGCTTCCCTAGAACAGTATAAGAGATGGCTTTGTAGACATTGCACATGGTCAGAAACTTTCTTGAAGGTCCATGTCTTATATTGGACAGACTTAATAGAAGTTACAGTTTTAGTATAAAGATCACTCTGGCTACAGGAGACAAATGGTAAGGAGATTGTTGTGTGTGGTTGCAGCGTGGCTGGTGGACCTTGAATTAGGAAGATCAGCAGACTGTTCACAGGTGGTCTCATGGTAGGTCCTGTGTTTGGCTGTGCTTATACAGGGAATTGAAAGATTTGGCATGTGTTTTGGGAATATAGCTGATAGGCTTTGCTAATGAATGGCTAAGAATTAGGCTATATTTGTTAAATTTTCATTTTTGTTTAGGGATTATTAGCCACCGCATATGTGATTTGCATTTTCTTACTAGAGTTAATATAGTGTTTTCTCTTAATTTGTTTCCTTTCTACTAAGAAAGTAAGGGAGAGAAACTTAAAAAAAAAATAGAAAAGAAACTTCTATGAGATGTAATGGATATTATGAAACATGTAAGTTCAGGGACTTAGTTCTAAGGAAGGGGACTTTGCTTACTCCCACTTTTGAATGTTTCCTTCTGAAGGAATGTAGGTACCTAAGTTAAATCTCCATGGATACCAAAGTGCATGGTGGTAGTGAGAGTGCAGTAGTAGGATGTAACTGGCCACAAAAAGCCTAAGCCTTCATCACAGCTGCTACTCTGGGAATGTACAATGACTGTGGGACCTGGCAGGAGTGAGTCTGTGTGGGTAGTAAGGACTGCAGCATGCTGTGCTGGGGAGTATCATTGGGTGAAGATAGCGTCATTGAAGAGCCTTAGGAAAACAAAACTCAAAAGTAAATGAGATAAATTTTGTAGAGCACTAGCGAAGAAAATGGTTGTGAGAGACAGGGAGATCAGTGTGTTATCTCCTAGATCAAAAAGCTATGTGATCCAGAAAGGCAGGGAGCCTTGCTTTTGATCAACTTCATCTAAGGCTCAGATTGCTTTTGCAGTGAGGTTACTGACAGGAGAGCCTGAGTATAGAGTCGTGAAATTGTCCTTTAAGAAACAAAATAATTAACAGCTTGATGATTCAGTTTTACAGATGGTAATTAAACAGTGGAGTCACCTCAATCAAATTTCTTTTTTATTTTCTATTACTCTTTTATAGCCTATTACACAGCTTTCTTTATATTCTAGAGCTTTTTAATTAAAATTTCATTTCTACCCTTTATCTGACTGCTAACAACGAAGTCGTTGTCCATTACCTTGTTTGTTATCACAAAGTTCCTTGAAGCTTAGAAAACTTGTTTATCTAATTTGGTGATTTTTTTTTTTAATAATATTGCAAGAACTGTAGATTTATTAGTACTGGTTGTTTTCTAGCAAAAAAGAAATGTCTTGTACTATATTTGGTATCGCCTATCTTAACAGAGTTACATTGTGCATAGTAGTAGAACAGTTATATTTTATCAGATTATTAGTCATATCTTAACTACTAAATGTCCTTAAATACTCAGTCAACACATCATTGTGTACCCTATATAGGATGTGTTGGGAATGGGGCGGAAAAGTTCTGTTATGAAAAATACTGATTGTTATTAATTCAAAATGTGATTTTAATAGAATGAACTTAATGGAAGCTTATTTACTTAAAATTACACATTCCTTTATTTTAAAAGATTTATTTATTTATGCATACAGAACTGGGGTACAGGCCAGAGGCACAGGGGTGATGAGGAGATTCACCAGACACAGAGTGGGGAGCAGAACATGTAGATGGATGAAGTACACTGCTGAGGGGAGCAGCAGGCAGGTCAGGAGAGGTCTGCCACACCATGTGGGTCACCTTCCTGGTGGGGATCGAACTCATGAAGTATCTGTGGCTAGCTAGCTTCGTAGTGCTTGCTTTAACCCGTTGCACAACTAGGGGAGGCCTTAAAATTACACATTCTTAATAAAGTATCTTAAGATTTTACAAACCTAAAAATGCACATTGAATTGATGAGACCATGAAATATAAATTACTTAATTCTAAAAAGTGGCAAATTTTCTGTCATTGACCCTTAGTAGAGTTGTGAATAAATTTTGGGTAGAAACAGCCCTAGCTTATGTACCTTCACCCCATCCCTCATTTAAATAATTACCCTGTCTTCATAGTTTTGCCTCTAAAGGGATAAGCATAATTATGTATATGCCATTATTGCAGCCTTCCTACTATTACATGTGATGACAATAATTAATTCATGGGTAGGATTTAACCTGTTAAGCTGCAGTGAGCTGAATAGTATAAATAAAGTTTAGGGAGCTTTTCCATCTCAAGTATTTTTGAGACAAAGTTAGGTTATCTTGAGAAGCATGATAAAATGGTAGTTTTGAGACTCTTATAAAACTACAATCATGAATGACATTTAAATTAAAACTGATACATGTAAGATGTATGATTGACTCCCTCATCCCAGACTTTGCTGTTTTATGAAATTTATGACTTCATAAGAGGATATAATTTCTTCCTGGTTTGTTTCAAGTTTACCAGTAGGGGAGATGGGGAGTGAAGACTGAAAAAAATTATTAGGAAAATAAGTAGCTTTAAAGAACTTTTCCTCATAGATTTTATATAAAAGCTTCTATAATTTTCAGTAACAGAAATAAATGATACTTTAAGTTGTGTACATTATTTAAACATTAAAACCTCTACATGTGAAAGTTATCGGCTTCAAAATATTGTACAAATGTGGTCTGATCTCTGTTTTGTAGGATACTAATTTAAAATATTGTCACAGTATAAAACATTTAAACAACATATAAACATTACAAAATGTGTACTTAAATTTTTGAGCCTCCCTGGTAGCGCAGCAGGTTAAAGCACAGCACTGAAAAGCTGTGTTAGCTGTGTTAGCATGAGTTAGCTCCCCGTCCTGGAGGTGACCACATGGCGTGGCAGACCTCTCCGGATCCGCCCGCTGCTCCCTTCATCAGTGTACTGCATAAGTTGGCCTGCTCTGCTCCCCACTACCTCTGGTGAATCCTCTCACCGCCCCTGCACCTCTGGCCTGTACCCCATCTCTGCATGCATAAATAAATACATCTTCTTAAAAAAAGTTGAATTTTAACATAATTCTATATCCTTTGAATTTTTTGTATTCAAGTATTTTTCTGACATTTGTGATACTTTTTACTTGTTAAACATATGAAAGTAAATTTAGACTATCCATCACCATCAGCTGCATTATTAAAGTAAATATTCCTGAACCCATTTATCATATTTAAAGAATTTATATTTAAATCTTTTCAGTGGTAGGGACTATTTTGTTTACATGGGAGATATATTTAACAAGATATCAAAATAATGTTTCAACATAAAAGTGAGAGGAAAAAGGTGAAAAATTTTTTCCCACCATTAACTGACCTGTCCTACTTCCAAGACGAGCTGTACCAAACCAAAGAATGCGGTCTCAACTTATTCTTTCATAACTCTATGAAGATTTTATTTTCATTCCCCCTTTTAATTTGGGAATGGCTCTACCAATTTACTAGTCCAGAGATTTTTTTCCCTAAAAAAATAATGCTTGGCCCTCCCTGGTGGCGCAGCGGGTTAAAGCACTGCACTAAGAAGCTGAAACCACTTCCGCATGAGTTCGATTCCCGCCTGCCCCGGAGGTGACCACATGTGTGGCAGACCTCTACTGACCCACCCGCTGCTCCCCTCAGCAGTGTACTTCGTTGATCTGCCTGTTCTGCTCCCCACTCTGTCTCTGGTGAAGTCTTTCACCACCCCTGCGTCTCTGGCCTGTACCCCAGTTCTGTATGCACAAATAAATAAATCTTTAAAAAAAAAAAATAATGCTTATTGTCAAAAGTTCTGGGTTTTGTAAGAATACTCTTTTAATGTTTGATTTATCTGGGGTACTATGCCAAAGTTATTGCTTTAGTTTTTGTCTTGTTATATTTTTGTTATTGATTTCTAGTGGCTAGATATAATGCAGAGTACTGTTGATAATTAAGAATGCATTTAGCCACTTGCTGACTGTATTGGCTTAGGCACATTACTTTATTTGTGCACTTCCTTTTTCTCCTTTGTCAAATGGGGAAAGCAATGTCTTATTTGTAGGTTTGTGGCTTTATATGTGGAAGAAGGTAGTGCTATACTTTATACATAGTAAGTACTCACTGTGGATTATTTATGTGTGTATTGAATCTCCAGATTTTATTTTGAAGTGAGACTGGTAAAGCCAGACACGTGGTAACAGGGCATGGGCATGTTTTCAAGCTAGCCTAAAACGACTTGAGAGAGCAAATACAGGAGACTTGGGGCTATGGGGTAACAGTCCTGTTTTGAAATTAGCACCACCAAAGGAGGGAGCACCTGGACATTCTTAGCAGCTTGCTCAAATTTGAGACGGAATGAGAGTATGGCAGGTTTAACTACCTGCAAGTATCAAGAAAGGAGTCATATGCTAATAAAACTCAAGCAGTATAATTGGCAAACACACAGTTAGGAGCATCATAATCAAACCAGTGAGAGAGAAAAATTTAAAGGTAACATGTGAGAAACTTGAGTTACAGGGTAACAGTGATAT